TATCTACATCAGCTGAATGTAAAAGTACTTGTGGAGTTCTCTCAGTAATCAGTTTATACCAAGAACTTCATATGAATTATTATGCCCAACAATCTTTCTTGTAGATACGATTATTGCGCGATACACAGCAGTATTTGTTCAACACATGCAGTACTTGATTGAAAGTGACAAGAATCTGAAAACGTGAGTTGTTCATCAAATGCCATCAAGTGATGCATTTCGGATCTTTGTTGAGCAGTACTAGCTGCGAATGTGTGGAAACAGTTTTCTGACCAGCTGCGGGACCACATTTTTGAAAAAGTTAAGAGAGCGAAACTAACCTCAGAATAGTTTTGTAGAACCGATATTTAATCTATCTGGACATTCTAAGTACTTTCTCAAATGATTCGTTAGAAAATTTCTCACGAATTCAAACACTTATATTCAAGAACATGCATTAGAGAATGAAACAATACTCAAGTTCTAGCTACCAGCTAGTAAGATAAATGATAGTCATACGAAGAGTTTCGTCTACTGAATGAGGAGTCAGAATTGTAAAGAAATATTAATTTGTTAAGTTATTCAGATTGGAATCAGTGAGTTTCACGTCAACATAGCAATGACCCATCTACTGTAGTTAGTTGTTTAATGGTTGATTGCGATTCTAGGTAAAAATCTTACTAACCAAATGCGTTCGTTACCAAGTATTATTGGGCGTTTGCTGCTCAATCTCAATCTATTTCGCACTTCATCTCGAAACAAAGATGTTACGTATCGACAATGTATTACTACCCGAGTTTTTATTATCTGTTGCGGATTGATTTTAACTATATTTGGCTTATATATCTTTTTATTTACTCAAACAAAAATGATCACCGTAAATAGTCCGTCATCCAGATACTTTACAGTGTCCATGCTCACAAATTGCTGTTTCATACTCGGATTTCATAGTAATCAATTCCACTTTTCATCAACTATGTTCGAGTCAAATCATATCACCAGATTGGTACAATCTTCTGACTCTAATTAACTTGACCGCATGTATGGATACAAGACAATTTGAGAGAGGAATTGGTGATCTCTACTTTCAAATACTTGACATGTTTTGTTCGCTAGCAGAGAATATTTTTGTTAATGCCTATCAATTATTCTCTGCTAAAACATTCATCAACACCATTCTTATACCTGAAACACTCTTTTCCAAGCAAGTCTCCACTCTAATTGATACATTCATAACGACAGTTCGTAGTGAATTCATTCGTATCTTGGCATTTGTTTGCGAAACCATTCAAGAAAGCCAACTTGCAAATCGAACAATGTCAAATTATGTTTTAATGCTCGATGATAATAGTCAAGTTATGATGTACGATCCTTATCTGCAATATATTGATCAAGTATCATCTATCCCTATTATTACTATATGTTCATGTCAATCTATGGGCTACAGATGTGGCGCATATGCATGTATTTACAATTCATCAGACCCAGATGGTCAGACATATCTCACTGGTCTGATCGTTCGATGTCTACCAATAGAATCTGCATTATCTTCGACGCTTGAGTGTGGGTATGATGAAGTTTGTTTTACTGCAGTGCGTGAGGTCTATTCTTGACAGAGAATTTCTGGCATCGATGATATCTCACCACTCAATGCCAATCTACCAAGTCGATTTTCGATTAACCCCACATTGGAACAAATCATGAACGAGCTCTTAATAGAAAATTGGACAATCAAAGTTTTCTACGATCAATTTTATCATGAATGTTCGCCTGTATCATGTATCTATACGATCGAAAAACGTTTTGATGGATTCTTCGTTATTGTTACTCTATTGGGCATTTTTGGTGGTTTGAACCAAGGTCTTAGACTAATTCTTCCAATCATTGTTCAAATTTCTCTGTTTATTCTTAGTCAAATGCGAAAGTGGCATCATTCTATAAATCAATTAATACCAACAACTGGACAGATATTATCTAATGGTGAGCTACATTCAATACTAATCTCTTCGTCTTAATGAATAGAATTTCTTGTTGATTTGAATTTCGATATGATATATGCTGATAGAATCGAAATTGCTTAAGTTCGTCTCATTTTGTCTCTTCTAGAAACTTGACAGTATACTAAACTGTTGTCATTTTTTGAGATGTCATAAAAACAAAACAAAACTCTTGCTATTTTTTATTTTAAATAGAACTTTTCATACAGTTTTGGCATGATGCTTTCGTATAAGAAATACCTATGCCATAAATGTCAGGTCAATTTAAATGGTACCTCAGAAAAATGTGGTAATCAGACTTTAGCTCACAATCGTCTTTGTAATGATCTTCAATATATGCACGAAATATGTTTACTGAAATTCGTATCAAAGTTCTCTAGTGCAATGATATTTTTATGAAAGACAGCAAGTAAAACAGATTGAGTTAAACTATCCGATTTAGTACGATAAGATCCATTGAATTGCTATTAACAATTATTGAGATAAGATCGAAAGTGTATTTGTCTTCGATTTGATTACACACTGTAACCATTAAAGAGAGACTAGGTTTTGTATGCGTACAGAAATTTCAAAAATGCAACCGTTAAAATTTCATGATCGGTGATTTCTTGATTATAGTTTCAACAGTCTCAAGCATAACCAGAATCTGACAATATATCTATCAGTTAAACTTTTTTGAAACATCGTCAAGTACAAATGATACTAAACAATATGAAATATGGTCAGCACGTCTCTATCTCATTCTTCTAGTAATTTCTACTCTCACTTTGGTTTTCTATACTACGTTCGTTATGAAAATTCACAGCGAAACAATTTGATCCCGTCTCAATCAACTTATGGGTATCTTTACAATCTATATTCTCATCCTCTTCGACGTTCTTGCTCAAATATGTCCATGTCGTATAAAAATTTCACTGTTCATCTCAATGCTACTTTTCATTCTATTTGTTCAAGTAGTTTTATTGTTGATCCATGAATGGGTTATTCGAGTCGATTTAGCGTAAATGCGGTTTGGTGGATCATACGAAAAGATTCTCGTAGATGGAATATTTTGTTTTTCAGACTACTTCAATCTTTCTGTTCATTGGCAAATACAACTGTTAACAATACTATTGATGAGTTTCAAGCCAGTTCATTCATATCATCTAAAGTAATGTCTGTCGACCAATTTCGAATACAAATTAATGAGGCATTTGAAATGTTTCGAAATTCAACATCAACTTTATTTGCTCGTACATTGCAACTCTTTCGTGCTAATTTTCCCGGTAATGGTTTAATATCGATTGGAGGCAATAACTGGCTATTGACAATCGGATCCAATGAAAGTTATGCTCCTCTTCTTAGCATCCCTATAACGTACAGAAATGGAAGTTGTTCATGTGCTACTTCGAGTTCATGCTTTGAATTAGCTACTTTCTACAATTTAAGCGAAAACAAAATTTACACTATTGATGGTATTTTATTTGGATGTTTCTATTTCGATTCTATTCTTCTCTCGTCTCTCTCATGCTTTTTCTCAAACTCTTGTAATATTGAGCTTACAGAAGTATTATCGATGGATGATATATATAACCCTTTCGCCATAATAACGTTTAATATATCAAACATTGAATCCTTACAGTTGTCGTCACCATTTTCTCAATTCAAAGTCAATGACACCATCGAAACAATTGCTTATCAACTATTTATCGATTTTTGGTCGAATGAAACATCTTATGAACGATACTACAATACATGTACACCGACATTTTGCAGCTATTCACATGGACAACATTTCAATATTCTCTATATTTTATCTACATTTTTAGGTATTTGTAATGGACTTTCAATAGAACTTCGTTTTGCCGTTCCACATTTAGTAAGCTTAGTTTACAAACTAAGCTTTGGTTTCAGAAATGAACATGCATGAGTGTATTGTGTGATGAATAAACTTGATTGTGTGAATGTTACTGTCGATCTTCAATTAATAGACACTCATATTCTCACACCTCGTACACAGCAACAATCACATGCATATCTACACTTATAAAATAATTTAAATCTCTCGCTATTTCATCAAATTCAATTTATTCCTCAACAATTAATAAGGTTGTGAATAAGAAGATATTAACTGACGTAAATAATTCATATGATATCAAGTAATCATAATTAAATAGCTTTATTCATTCAGTACTTTATTCGTACATTTCACAAAAGCATAGGCTATGACGCTAAAATCCTGATACAAAAAATATCGCTAATTTCTCGAGCATTTAAAAGAAATTGTTGAGAACTAGGGTTGGGTGTGGTTGTGGATGTGATTCTCTTTATGACCCACATCCATAGAGATGTTGTGCTAAGACTTTTTACCCTTTTGTTGCTTAAGTGAAGTTGTTTTTTTCTAAAGGGTCAATATCAGTGATAAAAAAAACACGGTCGAGTAGCTACGAGATAAGTAAAAGAGAAAGCCTATCTGTTTCGATATGAACTTGAGATGTTTAACGGCCCTATTGATATCAATGAACGGGTACATTTCACGAAGTACAATAGTGTATGTTTGTTATGACCATCAAAATTTTCGATAACCTATCAAAATGATAAATTGTTTTTCATTATGAATCTATCAATGCTAATTACTTTCAAGATATTATGATGATGATTTTTCTTGTTTATTTTATATAAAATACAAGTCACAAATCAGTACGATTATTTCACAGTAAAATATCAGTCGAAAGAAGAAGTTCATTTTTATGATCATCGATATGTTAAACTAATTGATCAAAACCATAATCTATTAAAACGCGAGCTATTGACTTCATACATTCATTATAATCATTAACTGGACCAATACCAGGACGTAATGTTTGATTTGTCATCCTAAAAAGAACATCTCAAATTAATTGATGGCTATATAGAAAAAGTGAAACTTACTGCACTAGTTTTCGATTCAGTTCAAGAGCCTCATTGTTTAATTTTCCATAGGCATTTGTTAGTTTGTGGAGCGTTTGCAATTGTTCTTTATCAAGCCAAACCACTTTCTGTTGTTTATCATCATGAGTAAGTTGGTTTATTTCATTCTGACGTTTATCCATGTCTAGTACAATTCTCATCAAATCCTGTTCAATAAATGGTATTTCAGTTTGTACGATTCGTATCAAGTTTGTCGAAAGTTGACCAATGTACAGAATTAATGAAGACGGAAGACAACATTGGTTCGTGACATCTTTATATTTCTATACATAAAAGATAACCGTCGATTGAAATCACACCAGTTCGCTATTGGTAAACGATTCTGAAATATCTCTCGCTAGTTTTCAAAGCGCAAGTGTTCTCTTAACAAAATAAAACAGCTGAAACTAAACCCAATGAATTTTTACAATTTTTCGAATTTACACCAAATAATTTATTATTTGCAACATTTTCTGACATCATCAATATTAGAAGATGATAAAATAAAACTCAAATCAAGTTTGAACGAAAGTGTTTCGAGTTTTTTACAAATCGAATCTGACTTTCACAATGATGACATGAATTGTGATACCAGTAGATCTGTCGAACTTTCCAGCCTTATTCAATGAAAACAAACCTGCATTTAATCAAATGCTTTGGTTGTGGACAAAATAATCGATTGCATTTGTTGAGACATTTGACGGATTTTTGGTAGAAGATAATCAAGCATTTCGCGATGAGTTTTCTCATGATTGATTTTTGGAAAATTCGAAATAACAGATTGTGCGTCATCTTGAATGGATATTTCCTCACTCGTGACTAAGTTTTTGGTTAGCAACGAGAGAAGAAGAAAAAGAAGACAGTATGATAACATCGTAATGAATGAGTAAGAAATGAGTCTGTTGTTTATAAATTATACATCTGTCTGTCTGTCCACCGACGAGTGTAACGCAACAAAGTCATATTTAAGAATAGCTACGCTATCTGTTTATTTAGACGAAGAGAATAGGGAGAAGAATGGGTGAGAAAGATATATATATATTACAGCGCAATCATAAAGCAACCCATTACGTGTCAGTATATTCTATGAGACCAAATGATTTCCTGTAGAAAAAAAGACATTTATGTAAACACGCACATCTTTTTGTTTTTGAAGGATATCAATCGTTTGCTTTTCTCTTTAGATCAGATCTTTTCTCTTTTGAAAAAAGAAAGACGACATTTCAGTTTTAAACTCTCCGAATATTCAAAAAAAGTTTAACCATGTTCAGTAAGATTTGGTATAAGTGAGACTGGAGTTACGTCCTTTCTAAGACATTCAACTGTGTATTCACAAAATATAACTTTTCATAGTAACTATTTTCTAAAATTTCAAAAACTGTGATTAGAAATTTTGATTAATTCTAACGAGGCAACGTTTTCAACTGCCAATCGCTTTTGAGATAGACCCTAGTGAGGTATGAAAAACCCCTAAAGAATTAGTTCCCATAGACTTTTGGTGCAGAGTTACAGGTATTTTACTAGAATTTTAGCCTCAAGCATGATATATACCAACAAATCGAATGACGATATTTCAATTTGAGATTTTTCCTATTGATAAGTTTATTGGTAAATATGATGCTCTGAAAGTTTCATCTTAAAGGAATGTTTATTTTCTGAGATATTAAAGTTTCAAAAATCATCCATATTCCATGAAAGATGCTAGAATTTTTCGTTTTTTTGAGACTTTAATATCTAGGGAGGAAAAGATCCTTTTGAGCTGCAATTTTCAGGGTATCATACTTACGAATAAATCTATCTATAGGCAAGATTTCGAATTATTGATATATATCATGCCTGAGACTAAAATTCTAGTAAAATGCCTATAATTCTCCACAGAAGACCTAAGAACACTTACCCTTTTGGGATTTTTCATACCTCACTAGGGTCTACCTTATGCACAGAGTTCAAACTTAAAAGCGATTAGGTAGTTGAAAACACTTCCTCGTAAATATGTTTATTTCGAAAGTATAACGCGTTACATGAAAATGAAGATCGAAATAATTCTATTTTAATGATTTCTATGGAAATATTTTTCCTTTCAGCATATAAATATAGAATATGATCTCTTGTATTAGTATTAATAATTTTTCCTGAATCACCTTCAAGTAAAACTGTTTTTGGTAATGCTTCTTTTTTTCTTCGTTCTTTGTAATATAATGCTAACCAAGGCATAGTCTTATAATAATCATTAAATGATTTTTCATCATTATTAGAATTTAAAAAAATAATTTTAATTCTGTTTTTGTTTATATAATATTCTTTATAAAGTTTACTTCATAGTGGAGTAAAAGTACGGGATGCTGGACAGCTAAGAAAAAATATTCGAAAAATATTTAATACAAACATAAAACAAAACATAAAACATACCAATGAGTACTAAAATAAAGATCAATTATTTTTCCTTTATATTTCCTATCATTAGGATCAACTTCTTTATTTGATTTATCAAGAATATGTCCATCAAATAATTTCACGACGCCAGCCATAAGATAAATTTTTGTGTATGTGTAACCTCAAGAGAGAAAAGTAGAGCAACGATTCGGTATGACAAAAAAATCGGATCCGTTTTCTACTTAATAATAAAATGTCGATGAGATGAAAAAATCCTCATATCCAAGATATCATGAAAAGCAGTCTTGATACTGTACAAATCATCAATTAAATCCAATTCATTTAATTTTAAATGTATAAAATAAGAGATGATAGTCTTTAAGTTAGCAGAATTTGTACGTCAAATGTGGACATTTAAAAAGGAAATTTCTTAAAAATTAATTCATTATCAAGTCAAAGCTGCTCTTTGTCAGCAAGCACTAGGCTTCACTCATCTTCTCAAAGTATTTGTCTATGTGTTAGAAGTCTTGAGCTGCAACAAGAATTAAAAGAAAAATGCAGTGCCACTTCTGCTTGTATAAGAAGACTTTTACTGCTGATATAACTGAAATAATCTAACTTTGCACGTGGACAGGAAGATTAATGCACTACTCAAGATAAAAAATCGAAGTTTAATCATTAGAAATATCTCCAATAATTGTTATGGTCATTGAATTACGTGTTGCAAACTTAATAAGTTGCTTCATTAATGAACAAGCATATATAAATTATTATTGGATTATGTCATTGTGACGAGTTGTCCTAGCACCGAGTCATTAATCGAAGAAACAAAAAAGGAATTCATTGTGTACTAAAGAAATGATGTAGTTCACAGTGTCGAAATTTGGTTGTTCAGAATTTGGTCTATTTTAAAAACCAAAAGTACAACTATAAAATAAGCTGTTCTTAGTAGATTGTAAAGCATTTCACGCTGCATCTTTTGATATATTTTGTTTTTTTTTAATGAAGCGCACTAAGTGATGAAAAAATGAAATACAAAACGTGGCCATTCATTATAGTCCATCCGTTAATTTTCAACGATAAGTATATACAGAGAACAAGTTTATAATATTTCAACTATCTTGATAGATTGATTATTTCCTTTGTGTTGAAACAAAATAATGAAAGAACTGTTATTTTCCTTATGTAAATAAAAGATTTATATCAAGAATAAAAGTGATAAAAAAGAATCTATGAATCGAAATATGAAAAACAGATAAGCTTCAGTTAATATTTACATTTAATCATCTGCTGATACAGTTTAATCAGATAGTATTGGTAGAATTCTTAAAAAACAAGCCAATTGTTGTTTTTGTATTAAACGCCATCGAATATTATCTAAAATGACAAACTTTTTCTCGTCTACATAAACTCGATAAATGAAATAATTTTCTCTCTGCTGTAAAAAAGTTTCAATTTGATTAATTGATAATGGAAATATATTTTGATTATATATTCGTGTTGATTTTACTTCAATATAATGAGTTTTTCCGCTTTTAGTTAATATAATATCATAAGGTAAATGAGTTTCTCTATTTTGATTTAACCATTTGATAGTAACTGGACTTGGATGGTCACGATATTTCACTCAACAAATATGTGTATACCATTTGCTCACCAATACGCCCAGTATGTAAATCTAAACCTTCAAATTCTCCTGTTTCGTCAGAGAAATTTTTCAATAATACCAAATTTGATGGTGTTAATGATGACATATCTATTAATTCAATATTATCAAGTTGTTCGCCCTCTGATACACTGAAAACGGATGGTAATGTTCTTTCAAACTGATATATTGGTGAAATTATTGGTTGGATTGGTACTTGAACCGAATCTATAGTTAAAAAAAGCTTCAATAGATGTTTTTAAAGGAATGCGGAAAAGCATGATCAACGCATTTACTCAAATATCGAGATAGTATATGAACTAATACCAAGAGTTATCAAGTTTTTAGATTATAAAGTATGATGTTCAAGTTAGAAGTAAAAAAATATAGACAATATATGCTGAAAGAAGTCTGAAGATCGCAAATGATGTATCGACATAGCTACAAAAGTTGTAAATGTTATACAAAGTGAGGATTTTATTCTGAGTTTAATTTTTTTTAAACTCTAAAATAAAGGTTCTCTCTAAAATTAGGTTTTGCTCCTCGTACTGATTTTAGGAATTATTCACAAATATTATTTTATTTTCATAAGTGCGTAAAAGATGAATGTGACTGAAAAGTCTATCTTACTCTTATCTAAAATAAGCTCAATATAAGTTTTTATTAAGACGTAATTACCATAAAATGGGAGTTGGCAATGTTGTGGACAAGCTTGATATGGTTGTCTTGCAATAATTGAAGTATTATTGTTATTCTTTTGATTTTTTGAATTATCAATCCATGTTTCTGTAGTCATTGGAGTAGTTTCAGGTTTATTAGTATTCGTTTCTTTATTTTTAATAGAGGAAGTAGATTTGTTTGAGTCGGGTGTGGATGTTTCACACAATTTTGGTTGTTTTAGGACATCTATATAGAACTCAAATGGCAAAGTTGATTAATATGTCTTATAATAGAAAAGTGTATCTAGTTACTAGAACTTGACAATGGCTCTAAGATAACGATATCTTTATTGGTTGGTATGTCAATCGAATTATTAGTAAAGTGTTTTTTAATCTCTTCAATTGTTGCTTTTAATACAAATCTAAGTTTATCTTCAAATCTATCTATATTTAATAATTGACATAATTTATAAGGAAGATTGATAAATGTTGTTTCACTATCCCATGGTCGTGTAACATATAATTGTTTGTTTCTACTATCAAAATACACATTCGTTTTTTGAACAAAATTCTGGTTGTAAAATAATTCTAGAGAATCCGACTCCACAAAATCATTTTCTTGCTGAATTTTTCTGTCAACTAACGAAATGACATCAGACGAAACAGATAAATGTTTAAGCCATTTTTTTACAAAAATGGCGAAATTTCAATTAATTTTCGTCGAAAGTATTCAGCAGGAGAAGATTTTTTATCAGCAAGTTTTAAATCATTCATTCGGATTTGTTTAATATTACATAACTCCAAGAATGTGGTCAAATGTAAATGATGTCTATTTTTATAATCAAGTTTGAGACAAGGAATTGCATCATTTAAACTATTATTTGCTCCATTACCTTCCATATAAAGATATAAATTCCTAGCCAATTCCCATTGATTATTTTCGGTTAGTAGATACAGTGATTTAACTCGTGCTTTCGCTACTTCTCGTTCATCGGATGACCAGTAATACATTTCTTTTAATATATGAAAATATATCATTTGAATCCGATCAAGATTATCTTTCAAATTTGTTTCATCATCACGAATCTTTTGAAGTAAATCAAAGTAATCATTGCTTGAAAGTTTTGTTTTGAAATTAAAAATATCATGCCAATTTGTCTTTTCTCGTGGTAATAAAATCGAAGGGAAATACATATACTTGCCACATAGTTCTTTCAATTCCTTATTATCAATAAAAATATTATTCGATAATTCACATGGGTTTACTGTAGTTGGTATACATTTTATATGTTTTACGAACCAACTAATATAATCAGCATTATCTAGTAACGTTCCTTCGATTGCACCTCGTTTATCTGAATGACCCCAATAAACTTTTATCTTTTGCATTAACGCCTCTGGTTTGATATTTTTCATTACATCTGACCAGAAGAATTTTGCAAAGTCATAATTATCTATTGGGAAAATAAAGAGACAAAAAAGAACATTTCGTTTTTCATCCAAATCAAAAAGATCCGCAGGAACCGAAATTGAATGTACAGAAGTTTTGAAATTAGATAAACCGTTGAGTCTGTTACTTTCAGCATTATTCAAGCCCTCAGCACCAGTCTGCCCAGTCAAATGCGAAAGCTTAAAAAACGTGTGTATTTGTAAGAAATTTTTTAAAACACGTGTTTATTTGCAAAATACTCTTTAATTCGTCTGATCTCATGCGCGATCTAGCAAGGCATTTGAAATATTTGTATTTTTTACGTATAAATGCAGATCAACAATACATGCAAGACATATGACTCGCGTGGAATTGTCAAAGTATCAGCTGCGACTACCAGCAAGATGATCAGACCTTCTCCAAATCAGGTATTTCAATGCAAAAAGGTCCTATTTACGAAAACTAATAGTTAAGTGATTCTGGGTTGACATACAAATTTTTACTATTTTGTAGTATACATCTTCTGCATGCAAGAATTTAGTTTGTTCGTCGACATGTATTTATTTATTTCTTGTAAAAACAGAATCGCTCTTCAATATAGTCATACTATATTAGCTCAAAGAACCTGTTCATTTTTGAAGGTCTTCATAGTTATTATAGCATTCATGTACACGCGTGTCTGAAAGTTATCGGGTGATCAATATATCCTTTAGTTTTCATTGTATTTCTAATGTAAGTAAATGGCTCAATGTTAAAGAAGTTCGTCTTGTAAAACAAAGCATGTATGTTCGAATCTTATATCCGGAAACAAATTCCTGCGTGTTCATGTATGTCTGTGATATATGCTTCAGTTTTTGACCGTTCTAATTTTTGTTGTGCATGCATTCACAAAGGGTTTCTACGAAAATATTTGTATGTCTTCATATGTGAAAATAGTCAGCGTGTATATGCAGAAATTTCCATCTGTGTACTTGCGAATATAATTTCCTTTCTGACGCGTTTACACGCATGCCATGTGAAAACGATACATGCATGTACACATACCAATGATTTGTGTCTACACGTGTTTTTTAATCTGTCGTGCTACTATTGACTACTACCTTGCGTGATAAAATATGGTTGACTGCCGGTTTTTATGACATAGATACGTTAACTTGTCAATTTTGAATCAATCAATGTTCTTACTTTGTGTATGTTGTATAAATGTTATTGTTGTTAATCCGAAAAAAGCATCGACTATGTGCTTTCCATCAGGTGACGTTGTTGATAGATACTCGCCACAAAATCCATATCCAGCTGCTTCATAAGATGTTAATTTTCGATTAAATACGATCGGATGCAAGTCTTCTTGGACGCCTAATAT